AAGCTCGCGTTGCCGTGCGGCTTTCGTCTCTTGGATTGTCTGTAAAACGTGGGCAATAGCGCGTTGTTCGGGAAGTGGGGGGCACACCACTGAAAATTCACGTAGATATCTATAATGTCGGTTGTATCCCTTACTTGGAACTTTGAGATTCAAAAGCGCGTAGTAGAAAAAACGGGGATCCAAAATATCATCGTTTGTTGGAGAAGCTGCGTGCCATCAGCCCCAGCGTAAATGGAAAATCGACGTATTTGAAAATACGAGTATGGTCTCCAAAAATCACCACTGGCAAATTGTCAGAGATTACAGACTCAGCATAGTCTGTCCAACCAGCGATGGAGAGGCACCTTGGTCATTACCGGAAACTCACCCATCTTGATAGTCTTTTTTGGGAATTGAAGGTTTTTTCTTAGATTAACTTTTTTCAAGCAAACTCTCAAAGGACAGAATCTCCCAATCTTCCGGCAAATTCAGCATATGCATTACAGCCCCTCCGTCAATCCAAGTCGTGTCAAAACAGCTTCCAATGTAGTCCGCTTTTATGTCTCGCGAACGATACGTGCTTCCGTCAGGTCCGCCAAAATCTCAGAGATGGGACGGTGTCAAACAACCTGATCTCCCACGTCACAAACTGGGAAGGACTCAAGTTATAGAATCAGTCTTGCGATATCTCCAGCATGATAACCATACTCAATTTCTCGCGGAGGAATTCCACTGCGGATCTACCTCCGTCGCAGTGTCAATCCCTTCATTGGTTAGGACAGTGTTTGTGGTTTTTCGTTAACGACAATATTTAGAAGTGGATGAGTAGGATCTGTTCTTTGCGTTCTTCTGGTTGCTGAGCAGTTCAGCAGCAAAATGATCCGGCGGTGCGCTTAGATATCCTAAAACAGGTTTTCGGGCAAAAGTATCACACTTCAATCGGTCAGTTCTCCACAACCCTGTGCGGAGATCCCGCTCCCGACATGGTATGGTTGCTGCCAGCTCCGACGAGACACCGCACACGGTATCGAGGACATTGCGGCGCGTCCGGTAGTCTCTTTTAGGGAGTGAGTATATGCTGCACCCACGCCCAATCTGCGGAGGAGCTCGGCGGAACGCCATAGGTGAAACGTCATAGCGTCGTTGGCGTAGAAGTTCTCGTTATACTCTTTCTGATTCCCACATCGGATGGCGAGCACATAGTCGAGGCGTTGCCAGCTCGGAATATCACGTAACAAAGCCCGGATTGCGGAGACGGTGTCACCAATGTGCAAATCCGCGTTCGTCAAGTCATGCAGAAGGCATTCACTCTTGCCATGCGACGGTGGTATGGTCAGTCCTGCCCGTAGATTTGTGGAGTCGCGCCCTTTTCATCCGGGTGCGTTCTCTCAAATAGGAAGCAGGCGAGGTTGAATAAGCAGCGAACCACACGCCGGGTCGTCGAGATGAGTCGTGTGCGTTCGGGGTTGATGAGGGTGCCATTAACTGACCGACCTCTTTCGGCGTGTAGAACTCGCCCGCCGCGCTCTGTACGGTCCACTCAGCAAATTCCGCAACCGATATAGTAAGCACGTCAAGGATGTCCGCTCTGTGTTTCTGAGCCCAAGCCAGATGCGACGTATGACCTCAATCAGTGCTCCAGTCGGTCATCGTCAAGGGTGCGCTGTCCGCTCTGTTGTTCGTTGAAGTCCTGTACGTCAAGGACACCACTTAACACGCGGGTTCTGACTCACAAACCTTACGCATTGCTTTCAGTGACAAACTCGCACCAAGCGACCATTTGCGGGATGTCGCGCGAAGTGCCATCCCAACGATATTCTTGAGGGATCAGTGTAAATTTGTTTTTGTGTAAAAACGAACAATGGGCGTTGCGGCCCGCTCTTGAGGCGTCATGATGTCGGCGTCCAATGATTCTCGCGCTACCTCTTCATCGCCGAATTCCTCGATCTGCAACTTCGCAATTCGTCGTGCGAATACATCGGAGAGGCCGTTTGTAGAAGAAAATCAGCGGGGAGGATGAAATCGTGCATTCGGGGCATCGGTCGTCCCTAGAACGAATTACACAGGCGGTCGTCCCATAGCCATGTTCAAGTGAGATGTTTAGTGGTTCTTGGTCTGGAGAGGAAATGGGATTGTGGTTTGGGTTGTATCTGCTGCCGGTGTTATTTTCGGCATGGTACTGACTCCTATGGAAGATATTAAAAGAGCTCAAGTTTCTCTACACATGTCCGCCCCTCTGGGGCTTTAGGAGGATTTGGCGGGGTGCTCGTATTCTGTACACATGTCGCCCCGACTGCCTTCAAAAAAAACAGATTGCTCTGGACTATACACATTGCGACTCCTCGGAGCAGCGGGGACTTGGACGTATCGCTTCTATAGACATATTGCTCGCTGGAGCACTAGGAATTCAGGTTTAACGGAAATCGAATGGAGCTTCAATACCACGGACCTGCTGACATTTGATAAGTATGTTAAGCAGACCGACTCGGCTCTGTAGTCAATTTTCCAAAGTCAACATCTCAGTGTACGAGATATGCATCTCGACCTACAGGTTGAGCTACGGGTGGTGTGAGTTTATACACATGGCGCCCGCTGGGGCTTTGATATTGCGTGGCCCCGTGTGCTATAAACATGCCGCCCCGCTGGGGCTGATAAAAAAATAATGCCTAAGACGTAATGCCTAAGAAGAAACGGAACAGAGATCTCTGTTCCCTACGAATTACCTTTCGCTGCCCCGAACTGAATCCTCGACATATCGCTCATCTCCGATAAGATCGGGATTCAAAGCAATCGGGCTTGGGGTCAAGCAAGATGCCCGACCTACGGGGTGGTGTGTTTTTATACACATGTCGCTCCGATGGGGCTTTAGATATTGTCGTGTCCGCTGTGCTATAAACATGCCGCCCCGCTGGGGCTATGTGGGTTTATTAGCAACAAAGTAGATTTTCCAAAATCGACCTACAGGATTCTGAAGCCATCTCAAGTGCATTAGGGGTAGGTCAATTGGTTAGTTATCTACAATCACCTAACGCAATCTAACAATATCTAACACTTTTTGCGAAATGCTAGAAAATCTCAGGCGGTGTTAATCAGTCAGTTGCACCTGTGCGATGGCGTGAATACTCGTATCTCCTCCACATTGCGCTCCGCTGGAGCGGTAAAGATGTCCAACTCTTCGCGCCATTATCATACATCAATCCAATACGACACATGTCGCCCCCGCACGGGGCTTTGGGATATTGCGTGTCCGTCGTGTGCTATTAAAGCCGCCCGCTGGGGCTGAGAACAAAATGCGCGAAGACGTAATGCATAAGAAGAAACGGAACGGAGATCTCCGTTCCCTACCAATTACCCTTCGATGTCCCGAACTGCTGGACCTTCGACATATCGCTTCTCTGGAGCGAAAGATGGTCTTTCTCGATTTATCATGCATCAATCCAATACGACACATGTCGCCCGCTGGGGCTTTAGGGATTTGGGGTGCTGGTATTCTATACACATATCGCCCCGCTGGGGCTTCAAAAAAACAGCTAGCTCTTGCTATACACATTGCGCTCCTCTGGAGCGCGGGGATTGGACGTATCGCCGTTCTATAGAATATGCTCCTTGGAGCGAAACGAGAAAATCAGCATCACGAGAGGGACGAAAAGGCATGAAAGGTTGAGCATTGAGACCCCGCCCTACAGATATTTGAATACGTTCAGACCGTCCGGAAATTCTTTCCGTCGATGCGACATGAAACGAAATTTTCCCGGCGGCATCTCGCATTCGGTTCGGAGGCGTGACTCCTCATCGTGGACGCCGAGGTATTCGTCTCGGCGTGGAGATAGTGCAACGCTAGTCCGCGACGCGATTCGGTGTGGATTCGCTCCGGTGCGGTGGAAGTTTAGACCGTGGTGGAACATGCAGTGTCCTGCCTTTAACTCCACAGATGTCGGCTTGGCGATTCTGGATCGTCGAGGAAGTGCTGTTTGTATTCACGGGTGACGGGTCCCCACTTGTGGCTGCCGGGGATGACGGTCATGCAACCGTTTTCGACGGTGGCGTCATCTAAAGCGACCCAACAGCTTACATGGTCCTGCGGGACAAAGAAGGGCCAAGCGGGTGAGTCTTGGTGCCAGTCGGTCACTGTCCCGTTATAGCGGGGTTTCATCATCAGTTGGTCGGTGTAGAACTTGATGTTGGGACCTAAGAGATCTTCGATGACATCCACAATCTCAGGTTTCTTGGCAACCGCTTGGAAAAGGTCGTCAAAATAGCAGAGTTGTGTCATCTTGCGGACGGTGTCGATGCGGGGTGTGTCGGTATCCTCACTCTCACTGAACGCCGCCTCAAGCTGGATGTAGCGTGAGGGCACATGTGTCACACGCCCTTCAGCGATGTCCTCGCTGCGCTGCCGGAGGGCTTCCAATTCTTCGTCAGACACAACCCGTGTATAGGGTAGGTAACCGTATTCCTGAAAGAACGCTTTTTGATCGGTTGCTAAAGCATATCGTGTCTCCTTCCTTGACAAAATGAGAGTGAGGGGTCGGGATTCGGAGATCCCTCCCCGTTCCGACCTCGATTCTCGTGGACTCCGATCATATCGGAGAAGTTTTCAACCTACAGAAGAAGTAAATGTCTCTAGGGCGCGTTGACATTTTGATGTTGCTATGGTAGATTTTAGAATTACTTAGACACTTCCAATGCACAGCCAACCCCCTAAATCCCCAACCCCCCTGTCAAGGGGGGCAAGAAACCGCCCCCTTGCCATCCCCCCTTATCATGGGGGGTCAGGGGGACTTTGGAAACTTCGCGAAGGTCGGAGTTATTGGTAGATGTCTACTTATTTCTCTAATTCACCATAAATGTCCCTAATCACGTGGTTCATCCTCTTGATCGCTTTTGTTCAGCCAGCCGTAAGATTCCAGTTTGCGATACAGCGTCCGCAAACCGATTCCGAGCATTTCCCGCGTCCGTTCTTATTATTGCCGGTTTCCGCTAATGTCTTGCCGATAGCCTCTTTTTCGATTCTTCCATTGTCATTCCAACTGTTCCACCTTTTTCATCAGTCGTATCAATTGAGCTTCCTGATTATCCGGGGCATCAAGATTCAGAGGAATTCCCATTTGAGGATCGGGATCCGAAGCGACCTCCGAATCTGTGAAGCTCGTTTGAAATTCGGAGGAGAAATTGTCGAGTTGAAGGATCTCTCTCTGCGCTAGGATGATGGCGGTTTCGATGACGTTGCGTAACTCACGGATGTTTCCATCCCAATCCGCATTTTTCAGGTAATCCATCGCTTGGGGGGTGATTCCTGAAACGGGACGGTCATGTTCTTTGCTGAACTCTTTGATAAATGCGCTGACTAGTAGGGGGATATCCTCTCGTCGCTCCCTTAACGGCGGCACTCGAATCGGAAATCGGTTGATACGGTTGATAGAGGTCGTTGCGGAATTTCCGTTTTTCACCGCTCTTCAAGGTCTGCGTTGGTTGCAGCGATGATACGGACATCGGTTTTGATGGGTTTATCTCCGCCGAGACGTGTGAATTCCTGTCCTTCCAGTACACGGAGGAATTTCACCTGTGTTTCAGTTCCCATCTCCCCAACCTCGTCTAAGAGTAAGGTGCCGCCATTTGCCTGCTCAAACAGCCCTAGTTTGCGGGTAGTCGCCCCGGTGAAAGCGCCGCGTTCATGACCAAACAGTTCGCTTTCAAGTAGCTCACGATAAAGTGCGCCGCAGTTAATTGTTCGATACGGTTTGTCCTCTCGGCGGCTATGGTTGTGAATCGCATTCGCGATTAATTCTTTTCCAACACCGCTTTCGCCGCGGATGAGGACTGTTGCATTGGTCGGGGCGACGAGTCGAATCATGCGGAAAAGCTCTCGCATCGGTTTTGACGTGCCGATAATGTTCGCAAACCCAAACTTGTCATCGAGTTGCTCTCGCAGATTGACGTTCTGGAGGAAGAGTGACCGTTTTTCGAGTGCGTTTTTCGCTGTTTGGCGCAAGATATTAATTTGTATCGGTTTTTCGAGGTAGCCATCTGCCCCTGCTTTTGTGGCTTCGACCGCACTGTCGATTGAGCCGTAGCCTGTTAAGATGATGACTTGTGTGTAGGGATAGTTGTCTTTTATGTGCTTGAGCAGATCAATCCCACTTAGGTCGGGCATCTTTTCATCCGTGATGACGACATCAATGTTTTCAGCGGCTAAGGTCTCCAATGCCTCACGTCCACCCGACGCTGCAAATAGGTCGTAGCCTTCGCGTTCAAGCACTTCGATGGCTGCTTCGACACTCGCCGAATCGTCATCTACAACAAGGATTTTTGGGGGCATCTCGTCACCTGCTGCTTAACCTTAAGTATTTCTATGCACATTGCGCTCCTCTGGAGCACGAGTATTGATTGTGTCGCCGTTCTATAGATATATCGCTCCGCTGGAGCGAAAAACCGGAAAATTACCCATTTTACACGCGGAACAGATAGTACGTGATGCGTAATTGGGATTGGGCAAGTTGAAAATCCCGATTTATCGGGGATGCCCGACCTACGGGAGCGGTGTGTTTTGATATACATATCGCCTGCACGAGCTTGGATATGCCTATCCAAGCCGAGCGGGGTCAGGTTACGGCATACGGCGTATGCCTACTACTTTAGCGTGGGTAGCAAGATGGAGAATTTTGTGCCTTGACCGGGTTTGCTCTCCACCTTTACCTGACCACCATGTCCCTCGATAACCTGTTTTACGATTGTGAGACCGACTCCGGTCCCTTCCTCTTTTGTGGAGAGGAACAGATCAAAGATTTTGTCGAGTTGCTCTGGCTCGATGCCTTTCCCTGTATCTTCCACATCAATTTGTATTCCCTCGTTTAACGGTTTTGCGCGAACTGTGAGAGTGCCGCCATCTTCCATCGCCTGAACACCGTTGATAATCAGGTTAAGCAATGCCTGCTTGAACTGCGATTGGTCAAGTTGAACGGGGGGCAGTTTTGGGATTTCACGGCTGACCTGAACCTTTTGCCTTTGTGCCTCTGGCTCGTTGAAGTCCAAAACTTCTTCGATAAGCACCGCGAGATCACAGGTTTCAAAGGTCAACGGTGGCAAATTTGCATAACGCCGAAAATCGGTTAATATTCGTTCTAGACGTTCCACCTCCCCACGAATACGCCGGACTCTGCGCTGTAAATCCTCCGGGGAACTACGGTTTTCAGTAGATAGATCTTCTTCTAAAATTTGGAGGTTAAGGTTAATGCTATTTAACGGATTGCGGATCTCATGGACTAATTCGCGGGTGGGGGCATGTGTCGGTTTAGCCTGCTTATTATCAAGTTTTTGAGCACGTAGATATCTTCGCCGCCGGACAACAATTATCAGAATACCAACGGCAAGAATCAGAATGAGTCCACTTGGAACCAACCACCAGGTGACGTTCATACAATGTGACAGGGGAGATTTTAAGAGAAAGGGCGTTTGTCGTCAGACTCCCGCGGCATCATCGGGGAAATGTCTATGCAACTGCGCCCGAGCGACGAACGATAAAAGTATGTGTGCTAGCCCGGAGAGATTTTCCTCCGGGCTAACACCGATGGACACATCAGCTGCTATACAGTGCTTCCCTAAGCTTCTTGAACCTCTATATTTCGGCGTTTTAAGTGCCAGAGATATATGATTGGACTAGCGATGAAAACAGATGAATACGTCCCGACGACGACGCCTACCATTAACGCCAATGCGAAGGTGTTAATCTCTTGCCCCGCAGCTGTTTGGAGGAAAATAACGAGAACAACAAAGAGCGTTGTCAAAGAGGTCACCACGGTACGGCTCAAAGATTGATTGATGCTTCTGTTGATAACTTCAGCAAAGTCGGTCCCTTTGAGCAGTGTGCTGTTCTCACGAATACGATCAAAACGACAATCGTATCGTTCAAGGAGTAACCGATAATTGTGAGAAATGCGGCAACCGTCGGCAGGTTGATCTCCTTCACGAACACTGAAAAGACACCCAACGTAATCAACACATCGTGAATCAGAGGCAGCGATTGCACCGATAGCGAAACGAGGTTCAAAGCGCCAAGAGATATAGAAAAGCAGGATAACAATCGACCAGACGACAGACCATAGTGCCGCCCATTTGAGGTCTTTGCCGACACTGGGTCCCACCTCATTCACGCTCACAGCACGCGGCAGCGCTTGCCAGTCGCTGTCTCCTTGTAATAACGCATCGGTGAGGATCTGTCCGACACTCGCTTGTGTCTGTATTTGCGCTGCTTGCGTTAAATCGGATCCGATTTCGTTCGCGAGCGCGAAGATAACGGTGTCCTCTCCTTCTATAACTTCACGAATCTCATTCCTCAATCGATGCTCTCCCTCGATTAATTGAATAGTATCTCCGGGTTGGAACACATGCACTCTCTCCTGCGCAGAACTTACCTGAACGCTCATAGCCATGGCATCGCCAGGATCCGCAGTCAGCGGCACAACGACTCTCTGGCTTTCAAATTCTTTGCTGTAGCCGATGTCGATTGAGGCTTCCTGCTTCGCTGCATCCACTTGGATTTTTGAACGCTCATAGCCCAGTTCTGTCAGTTTAGCGGAGAGTTCCGGTTGGGTGACCACGCGATTAAATTTAGCATAGGTCTTGACGCCGCCCCGAAAATCAATCCCAAAATTGGGTCCATTATGGAGAACGAGCGAAACTATGCCGATAATAATGAGGATTGCAGATACAACGAATCCCTTCGACTTTTGCTAAGAAAACCGATGGTTGTGTTTCTGATGACCTCCCGTCCGATACTTAACCTCTCGACACTTCGACCACCAAGCACCCAGCCGTAAATCTCTCGTGTGACAACAATGGCGGTAAACATGCTGGCGAAGATGCCGATTCCCAATGTGACAGCAAACCCTTTGATGGGACCTGTCCCGAAATGGTAGAGTACCGCTGCGACAGCTAACGTTGTTACGTTGGCATCAAGGATTGTCCAAAAGGCTTTCTGGTAGCCGGTCTGAATTGCAGACCATACAGTTTTGCCGGTGCGTAGTTCCTCACGGATACGCTCAAAAATAAGCACATTCGCATCAACCGCTATGCCGATGGTCAAGACAAGCCCTGCAAGTCCGGGCAGCGTCAAAGCTGCACCAAACCCGGCAAGTGAGCCCAGAATAATCAGCATATTAAATGCTAGTGCAACAATCGCAACGAGCCCGGCAAACCGATAGTAGATTAACATGAAAATTAGAACAACTCCCATGCCAATAACCGCGGCGCGAATGCCGTCGTCAATTGCTTCTTGACCAAGGGTTGGTCCAACGGTTCGCTCTTCGGCGATTTTCACACCGACGGGGAACGCCCCGGCTTTGAGGATGTTCGCCAGATATTGGGCTTCCTCAAAGGTAAAGTCCCCAGAGATTTGGGCATTTCCGCCGAGAATAGGTTCGTTGATTCGGGGTGCAGATTGCACCTTACCATCAAGTAGAATGGCTAAAAGTTCACCGACATGGTTGGTGGTCAGTTCACCAAACTTCCGGCTGCCTTGTGAGTCAAAACTCATAGACACGACGATCTCGAAAGCTGGTATTGCCTGGGGTTTCACGCGCACTCCTAATTCGATCGCCGCTCAGTAGGACTGGACTCTGCACAACATACCAACTATTCGCCAGAGCTGTTCCATCGTCGTTGTGGTATCGGATTTCGGTGCCTTCGGGGATATCGTCAGGCGGTGGGGTATTCGCCGATCCACTCCAAGCAATCACACCGGTGGGACTTTTTTCTACCAACTTAAATTCGAGCCGTCCCATCGTTTTGACAATCTGAAGGGGTTTTGACGAGTCCTTTGCGCCGGGCAATTCTACGATGATTCGGGGACGATTGGCTTCGCGTCGAATCGACGGTTCGGCAACGCCAAACGCATCAATACGGTTTCGTAGCACCACCATAACTTGGTCGATCGCTTGTTCGCTATACTGCCCCAAGCCAGACTCATCCAAGCGAATCTGATAAGTAACCTCTGTGTCAGTCCTATTAACTTCTTGGGGCGCATCAAAGAACTCTAAATCCTGAAGATTTTCCTGTGCCTGTTTGAGATATTCTGCCTGTTCGTTTGGGTCCGAAAGCCGTTTCGGGATACCCACAACGACGTTCAACGCATTTTCCTCTAAGACCGGTTCCGCCACCCTGCAATGAATCTTATCTGCCCGCAATCGCTCAGGTATCGAGGAAGCCCGTCCCTTCAGCAATTCGACTTTTGACTCCTCAAGATCGACTTCAAGGACGAGGTGAACGCCGCCTCTGAGATCGAGACCGAGTTTTAAGCGATTATCCGGTATCAAGCGACGGACGATTGTCGGAATACTTCCGTGCAGATGTAGATTTTCCAGAGCCCTTTCAAGGTCAACTTTGCTCTTTGGGGATGAGAAATTTGACAAGGAAATCGCGTTCTTCCGTTGTATCAAATTGATAATCTATTGCCTCCTCAAATCCGTTAGCCTCCAACCTTCTCGCCAAGATCTCCTTGAGCTCCGTTGTTGCATCCTGAAAGTTGATGCCCTCCGGGTATTGGACTTCTTGCAGGCTTATCTTTAGCGAATTTTCATCGGTTGCTTCAAATTTGGGGAGTTTCTCTTGCATCCAGAGGGAGAGGTTTCCGTATAGGGGATTGTAAAGATTCTCCGGGGTCGGGATGAGGTACAATGCTGAAAATACGAGTACCACAATGATTAAAATTAATTTCCACACACTAACGCTGTACATTCATTTCTCCTAGGGATAAAAAATGGTGCGCCTGGGAGGATTCGAACCCCCGACACGAGGCTTAGGAAGCCTCTGCTCTATCCCCTGAGCTACAGGCGCAGCTCGGCTAACAACAACGGGATAGTATAGCATATCAAGGGTCAAAATTCAATTAGAGAAAAAATATCGTGATCCGGGAATTTTTCGCGCCCATTGAGGAAAGTCAGTTCAATTAGGACTGCAATTCCGGCAACTTCGCTGCCAAGTTTTTCGACGAGGTCAATCGAAGCAGCGATTGTCCCCCCCGTTGCAATCACATCGTCGCAGATAAGGGCACGACTTCCCGAAGAACAGGGCGTCCTGATGAATCGCAAGGGTATCAACTCCATACTCCAGTTCATAACTAGCTTCATGCGTACGGTAGGGGAGTTTTCCGCTCTTGCGGACGGGAACAAAGCCAATGCCCAAGCGATAGGCAAGCGCGCTGCCGAAAATAAAGCCACGGGCATCAATTCCCACTACCACATCAACATTTTTCGGTTCGTAGTGGGCTGCCATCGCATCCACTGCATCGCGGAAGGCATGTGGATTTTGGAGCAGCGGGGTAATATCTTTGAAGAGGATTCCCGGCTGCGGAAAATCGGGCACCTCCCGAATAAATTTGGAAAAATCGGTCATAGATTCACTCCAGTCTATACAAGTAGAATAACTCAAGTTGCTAGGTAACCCGTAAGCCGAGTTTCCATAATCGCCCCTGAACTATAGATAACCAAATTTACTATGACAACCTCATCAGGGTTGCTGAACTACGATTCTATACACATATCGCCCCGCCCCGGTAAGATCGGGATTCAAAGCAACTGGGGCTTTAGGGTTGGTTTACCATGTTTTCTATACACATATCGCCCCGCTGGGGCTATGTTGGTTTATCAGTGCAATTAATGAACTCTTGAACTCAATGTTTATGAAAGAGGTTACGGCATACGGAGTATGCCTACTACTAGCAACCTGTGTTAGAATAAAGAAAGACAGCTTTAACCCGCTGCCCTTGCCTCAAAATCTGCAAGCTGCGTCAAGTAATCATAGCTCTGCTGTGCGGCGTCCTCTGGCTCCATGATTTCGGTGAATGCCTGATGCACCGTCACATAGCCGTTGTAACCAATCTCTGCCAATCCTTCAAACACATTCGAAAAGTCGATCCCGCCTTCATCTTGCAAGCGAATCGGATCATGCGGGACATCCCCGCGAATCCACGTCTCAAGATGTGTCTTTCCATCGGGACGCCGGATATGGTTTTGGAGGTAAACGTTAAACAGATAAGGTGAAAACCGCTTGAGTGTTTCGGGTCCGTAATCCTGTCCACAGAGGTCTAGATTTGCTGGCTCGTAGATGATGCCGAAGTTATGTCTCCCCACCCGCTTGAGTATATCAATTGAACCATCCACCGTTTCAAACAGGCTGCGCGTATGCGACTGATGTGCCAACCGGATACCTCGCTCGCGAGCTTCGTCGGATGCTCGTTTCGCCCAGATGATATCTTCCTCTTTTTTCATCGCAATCCGAATCAGATTGGCACCCAACAGGTCGGTCAGATCCAGATAAGGCGTGATGTTCCGTAGGGCATCGGGACCTTGGTCGTTGTTGATTGGAATCGGGAAATCTCCTGTGACCATTGACACAGCGAGATTGAGTTGGCGGGTTTTCTGGCGGATAGCGGTGATTTGCTGGAGTGGTGTCTGTATCCCCGCCTGCGACGCTCTCATGCAGACAGCATTATAACCGAGCTGATCGGCGAGCGCGGCAATTTCGTCGAAGGATCGGATGGTCTCTTCTTTGGATCCGGGTGCTTCTGCGACCCGAACCGAGAGTGAAAGTTTCATCTTTTGAAACATCTCCTTTTCAGGCTAAGCACTGCTTCAGAACCTGTACGGCATCCCTCCCAATAGCATTCCAAATTCGTCGTAAGAACGCCTTCTGAGCACCTCCGGCAGCCTAAGCTCCGGCAGTTCTATATTTTCAAACACAACACGCTGGTCAGGCGTTAGATCTACTTGATTTCGCCAATGATCCCAGAGATCTCTTTGGCATATTCCCGCCGTTGCGCGGCAAATCTTCTGAGTTTGATTCTCAGTTCATGCCATTCAAGCCGGACACCCCTGTTCGAGCGCCCGCCCTCATATCGGCTCATCCGAGGCAAGCTGGAGCGACTGTAGTAACGGCGATATTCAGCCTCTACTTCGTCTCGTTCAAACTCGTAATCCTCAACGATGTCCCGGATGAGCGCGATCTTAGGCTCAATGATCTCCTGTTGTTCTTTCGATAAGTTAAGCGCGACGCTGCTGTCAGGCAGATTGATTAGTTTTACTCCTCCGCCACAGCCAAGAATTAGCAGACTGAGGATAAGCAATGCGACCTGTGTGATGCGTGAAAACCATTTGTTCATTAGTACATTTATTTGGGTCATTGGTTCATTAGTACATTGGTTCATTAATGAACGAGTGAACTAATGAACTATGGTAGATTTTATAATTACTTAGACACTTCCAATGCACAGCCAACCCCCTAAATCCCCCAACTCCCCTGACAAGGGGAGAAGATGAGAGGGGATCTTCTCCCTTGTCTTTCCCCTCTTATCAGAGGGGTTCAGGGGGACTTTGGAAACTTCGCTAGGGTCGGAGTTATTGGCAAATGTCTACTTATTTCTCTAGTTCACCATAAATCGGTTGCTGTTGCACGATTTCTTAGCAAGAGGCGTTATTAAAAAACGATGCAACAACTCACACCCGACAGTTGTCCAGCACGTCCTCATCGAGTTCAATCCCTAATCCCGGCGTATCGGGTACGGTTGCGTAACCGTTCTCCATCTGGACTGCTGGCTTGACGAGGTCAAACGCTCGCAGGCAATTAAGCGTAATTGATGACATGGTAGCGTTAGGCATTGTGGCAGCGAGGTGGATTAGATAAGTGGTCGTTATTCCCATCCCGACAATCTGAATCCAGAGCGGCAAATGTGCAGATTCAGAAATCGCCGCTTCACGCTTGGCGTTGGCAGCCCGCGAATCCGGGTACGCAATGATGAACGAATCGTTCATACCCGCCTTGATTGCTTCGACGGGGTCGGGATTGCCAAAGTGTATTGTGATCGGCATATCACAACCGCGTCGAATCTCCAAGTATCCGTCAATATTGCTTTGGGGAATCGGTGTTTCAAACGCTTCGATATTGTAATCCCGGAGTTGTTTCGCAACCTCAATAGATTTCGCCGGTGTCTCAAATGAGTCGTTGGGATCAACTCGCAACTTGTAATCGGACGGAACAGCTTCAGAGATTGCTTGCCCTTGCTCGACGATATCATGCCATGGACGCGCTTTGATTTTGTGGAGCCGATATCCGAGCGAATAGGCGCGCTTGGCTTCCTCTGCCCACTCCGCAGCCGGCATATCGATTGACCAGTATCCAATCGCCACCTTATCCTGAACCTTTTCGCCCACTAGCTGATGGACTGGCACGCCGAGCGCCTTTCCCATGATGTCGTAGGCTGCCTGTTGAACTGGTGTCGGTGCCAGCCCATTCATGAATTCAAACGGATCCCTGCCGACATACTGCTGAAGTTCCTCGTTGGGCTGTCCTTCAGCGTCGCCGATCCCAACGAGCCCTGTGTCGGTGTGGACCTTATAGACGGTGTTCCCTTGGTACAGATTCCGTTCGACCATCATTTCGCCGATGCCCTCGTGATACGGAACTTTGACCGGTATTGCTTCGATCTGGGTAATCTTCATGATGTTGTGTCTCCTCTTGTGGTTTATCAACTTTGATTCATATTAAAAGAAAGTATTTTGGGCAACCATAAAGGTTGCCCCTACATTGGGTCAATTCCTGTAGGGGTTGGGTTTCCCAACCCGTTGAGCGAGGAAACCTCGCCCCCGATAAATCGGGATGCAAGCACCTACGATTGGGCACTTCTCAACAAATGACGGACGGACCTCACACAAATGTCAACACGCCCTAGCAACTTATTAGGCTATTTATGGTAGATTTTAGAATTACTAGACATTCCAATGTCAGCCAACCCCTAAACCCCAGCTGATAAGGGGACCGAGGAGAGATCACCCCGTCCAGTGAGTCCCTGTCAGGGGAGTTGCGGGGATGCCCCTCCTAGGGTCGGGTAGGTAAATGTAGATTATACGGACATAAATCCCTAGCAACTTATATTATTCTACATCGGAAACTTGAAAGGTTGTCATTGACGAAACCAATCCTTGAGTATCGGATACAATTCACAATATCGCTGATAGTATGCCTCATATTGTTGCACTCGATCCGTATCACACCTGACCGTCTCGCCCAACACAATTGCATTTTCACATGCAGACTCAAAGTCCGCAAACACGCCAACGCCAATCCCTGCAATTATCGCCGCGCCGACAGCGGAAACCTCCCGCGTTTCCATTATCCGCACGTCCTGACCGAAAACGTCGGCTTGAATTATGCTCCAGAGTTCAGATTTCGCCCCGCCTTCACCGATGCGGAGTTCGTCAATCGGGGAACCTAACCGCTTGAAGCATTCGAGCGAGTGTCGCAGGTCAAAGGCGACCCCTTCCATCAGTGCCCGAATCATGTGACCCTTTGTGTGGTGCAACGTCAAGCCGATCCACCCGGCACGTGCGTGGGGATCGGGATTCGGCGTTGCTGCCCCCTGAAACCAAGGCATGAAAAACAGTCCATCACTGCCCACAGGTGCGCTTTCAGCGTGTGCCGTCAAGTCCTCAAAGCGTTCGCCAAATTGGTCACGCGCCCATGCTAAACTCCGTCCGCCGGTATATGTGCATCCGAGCCAAATGTATTTTCCCGGCACGGCATGGCAGATGGGCCAGAGTTGATTGTACCCTGCATCGCTGACGGTTTCGGCAAAAGCTAGGGCGTGTCCCGCTGTACCGATTCCGACGTTGACGACTCCCGGTTTGATGACACCACCGCCCACGGCCATACACGCCATATCGCCCGCACCGGCACATACAGGCGTTCCGGCTGCGAGCCCCGTTTCTTCTGATGCCTCCGCTGTGATTTCGCCAACCACGCTAGTTGATTCAACGATAGGTGGGAAAAGATCGCGGCGAACTTCCAGCGCATCTAAGATTTCACCGCTCCAATCCCGCGTGTAGATGTCTCCAGCCGCTGATATCGAGGCGTCCGAAACGTCCGACCCAAAGCTGCCGGTCAATCGGAACCGTATCCAATCTTTTTGAATGAGGGCATAGCGGGCATCGGCATAAAGGTCCGGTTCGTTGTCACGTAGCCAGAGAATTTTCCCCACGTGTTGACGGGGTTAAGGACCTGCATCACCCTCGCGAAATAGGTCGCCTGCCGTGATTGCCCTCGTCGCACTCCCCGCTTTGAGCGCGCATCCAACCAAGCAATCGCACGGCGGATCGGAACCCCACGAGCATCCACGAGCATCGCGCTGTTCATTGTCCCGAAAGCGATACACCTTTTATGTCGTGGATCGAATAGGCAGGATGGCCTGTTTTGAGCGATTGGATTACTGACGGCTTGTTCGCACAGTGCGCGCCACCAATCGTCGGGATTTTGCTCCGCCCAACCGGGGTGTGGCGTCAATAACGGATAGTCCGCGCTCGCCATTGAAACGATATGACCTGCTTCGTCCATCAAAACTGTTTTGGCATTTGAGGTGCCAAGGTCAATTCCCATCACCAATGACACGGTTTTTCACCTCTTTGATATGATGCGTGAAACGTAAAATGTAAATGATTCATAGGTTGGAATCCCCCGAACCCGTTCTAAACCGTTGAGATGACTGCATCGCTGTGCAGCTGAGGTGAAGAAAGGGGTGGACCAACCGGTGCTCCGCGTATCTGTTGGGTCACGTTAGAGGAAATGTCGTAGGAGTAGGTCGCTTCATACCCATCGATCCCGCCGGTGGAAGGTTGGAGGTGTATGCCGGTGCGAGCATAGGAAGACCGGGCCACACAGATTCCAATACCTCCGTGCAGCCCGGCCTCCTTAACGTTTTAGGGTTAATATCCTAGCTGCTGGAGATATCCCCGATTCACTTGCATCCGCTCCTGATCAGATCGATCCTCGATTTGACCGGGGCAGGCTGTCACCCAGCGATCATATCCAATCTCTTCCAAGGTTGTCATAATTTTTGGAAAGTCCATCACCGTTCCGCTGCCGACATCAACCCAATTGACATCGTAAGACTCACCGTCGCCGCCGGAGTAGTTCGCATAGTCTTGGAGGTGAACGTAGATTAACTGATCTTTGTAGCGTTTTATCGATTCGACAGGGTCATACCCCCACAGCGCAGAGTGCGAAACGTCAATGCACAGCTTGCACTTTCTGAGCAGACTCATATATTTCGCCCAGTCCTCAATCGAATCATTGTTGTGTTGGTATGAAATGTGGTAACACACCTCTAGGTCGGACTGTCCGGCGTATTCCGCCCATTCTTCCGAAACATCTGCTAGCGCAGCGATGTCGTCGTCATTGACAGAACGGTCTTGTGGTTGCCAGCTCCCATGAACATGAAACAGTCCGCACCGACTTCAGCGGCGAAGTCCATCCGGCGTTTGTTCATCTCCATCTGCTCCCAATCCTTGTCGATCGGGAGTCCCCGTGCGGTGACGACGACGACAGGCATACCGACATTATCGCAGACCTGTCGGACCCGTTTTGGTGTTCCCACCCAATCGAAGGATTGGCGCATCTCCCATCCATCCCAACCGGCTTCCTTGAGTTCTAACAGAAGCGGTTCGAGGTCAGGTGTCTGCCAACGTAACGTGCTATAACCAAGTTGAAACCCATAATTTAGCCTCCATAATACAATTTGTAAAGTGGCTCTGAACAGTTACTTTTTAAGATTCACAGGGTCATTTAGTGAGGTGTCGGGATTCGGAGATCCCTCCTAAACGCTCCTATAAGGTCAGCGAAAAGATTGACAAATCAGCGAGCAAGAGTATAATAGCCAATTGCGAATCCACCGTAACGCCTTACAGGCTTGTAATCGCCAAGTTTTCTTCGTAGGCGTTTCGCGAAGTTATTATGAAACAGATGTGGTTAGTTGTCAAGGAATTTCTGAGATCAAGGGGAGTGGGACATGCGAATATTTATACTCGGTGATTTGGAAGGTGCTGCCGGTGTCGTCGATTTTAATCTTCAGACCTATAGCGATGCAAAGTACTATGAACAAGCGAAACGACTCTCAACATTGGAGGTAAATGCGCTTGTTGAAGGGGTATTAGAAGGCGGGGCGCAGGAGGTGTGGTTTTTAGACGGTCACGGTCCAGGGGGAATCGACTATGAATTGATGCACGCGGAGGTACAGATGATTATTGGTCGTCCGATCTCTGCGCCTTGGGGGCTGGACGAGTCGTTCGATGCGTTTTTGCTTTACGGGCATCACTCAATGGACAACACAGAACGCGGTGTTCTCTGTCATAGTTGGAGCTCGCGCACAATTGCCAACTGTTGGCTTAACGGGGAGTGATAGGTGAGATTGGGTTTAACGCCGCACTCGCAGGCTCATTCGGTATCCCAACGGTATTTATCAGTGGGGACGATACTGCCGTTGCTGAAACGCAGCAGTATGTGCCGAATATCGTGTCAGTTATCACAAAGAAGGGGATTTCGCGGACAAGCGCGTTGTCGCTCGCACCCGTGAAAGCGAGAGAACTCTTGCAGGTCGGCGGGAAGATAGCAATGGAGAAAATTGGGGAGATTGAACCGTTTACTATCGATTCACCTTATGAGTTTATTACAGAGCTGCGGGAGGAAAAAGCGGTTGACGCGAAAGCGAAACGTGCGGATGTTGAAAGGCTAGATTCTCATCGCTACAAGATTGTTGGTGACACGCTCATCGAAATTGCACACCGTCGGTAAGGTCTTAGGGTGTGTTGATATGCTTTAAGGGTGTTTGGTATGACCGGGATACCATTATCTTGCTTACACATAAGCTATTGGCTCATGTCAAAAGAGAGTGTAGAATAGCTCAGAGAAACCGATTTTTCAGAAAAAACCCGGTTTTTTTGCACGACTTCTTAACACGATCCAGGTTATTTTTGTTAGAGTCAAACTATTAGTTTCAACCTGACGAATTTAGATTTGCACGCTGCTTGCCTGTTACTGTATCTTTAGGACATAGAATTGATTTTCAATAAATAGCAACAGGGATTATTCTATGCTCTTTGGCGACAGCGATGCAATGCGAACCATTCATACAACAACGATTCATCAACTCCGCAACAACGACACCGCTTCGGTTTTAATTACAGGGGAAACCGGCGTCGGGAAGGAAGTGGTTGCACGAGCTATTCATGCCGGAGGACCACGGGCGTCAACACCATTTGTGCCGCTCAATTGTGGGGCAATTCCCTTTTGAACTGGCGGAGTCCATTTTCTTTGGCCATATCCGTGGGGCGTTTACCGGTGCTATAACGGATCAGACGGGCTACTTTGAGCGTGCCGACGGTGGGACACTGTTTCTCGACGAAGTCGGAGATATGCCAATCGAAACCCAAGTTAAACTCCTCCGTGCCCTAGACGATGAGTGTTATCACGCCAATCGGTGCAACAAAGAACAAACAGGTAGATGTCCGGGTGATGGCAGCCACTAATACAGATCTCAAGGCTCAGGTTGAGACGGGACAGTTTCGGGCAGATGCTCTACTTCCGCTTGGCTGGAATGCCAATTGAGATTTCACCGTTACGCGAGCGAAAAGCGGATATTCTGCCCCTTGCCGAATACCATTTGAGTGACTTAGCGACTCAAATGGAAGTGCCAACCCCAGAATTGACTCCTAAAGCGGTGGAGGCTTTGGAGGGATACGCCTTTCCGGGTAATGTGCGTGAACTGAGAACATCATTGAACGTGCGTTGATTGTAAGCGAAGGGGCAGCGATTCAACCCGAACACCTACATTTTCACTTTCCTCACATTGATATGTTTCTCTTTTCAAGAACAGGGACTGATGTAGCGAATCCATGCCAGCCCCGTTGAGGGGATGTTTGCCGAGCAGGAGCAGATTCGACGGCCTTAGTGGCTAATCGGGCAACATTACCAAGACCGCCCAGCAACTTGGCTTGACCCGACGTTCTTTATACCGCCGGTTGGAAAAATATGGCTTTCGATGACAGAAATGAGATAGTTTCATTATGTCTTTGACTAGCAGCAGCAAAAGTGTGCGATTTTCCGCACACCAACCGCACAGCCCATTATTTTCAGTCTATATCAGGATTATTCACAATATTATTCACAATTTTGTGTGCGGTTTACCGCCCATTTTGGCTGGTAAGAGCAGATGGCAAACCTCCTCTCAAACCCGCGCCACGCCTGAATAGTTGGCACCATTTAGGATGTTGGCACGGGGCTTGCTTAAAATAGGGTGAAGCCAAGTTATTAACACTATAAATACTTGGTGAAAAAGAGAACCACATGTTCATTGGATATGTGAATCAAATCAGAGTTGATGGTTCTCACCCAACGGAATGCCAACGCATTCCCAACAGATTAGAGGAGGCTTCATCATGTTGATTTCACGAAGGTTCAAAGCAATACTTGTTATCTCTCTAGTAGTTCTTGTTATTTTCACGGTGGCACCTTATGCCAACTCGAATATATCAAACGAATCCGGGACATGGCGAAATGTCTTTTGGAAGGTGTCCACGGGGAAACATAGTTTGAATAGTAATAGCGCTAACAGTTGGCACCGTGTTTTTGTCACGAATGATAGTATCTATGGTATAGCTGTCGGTTTCGTGTGGACCCATGAGTTGTTGGATGACTCGAATGACACCGTCGAAACGGATAGTAGCTCGGGATCCTTCGAGTTGGCAGCAAGAACGAAGAATCGGCTTGAGTCGCACGAGAGGGTGGGATGGATGGGCCCCAATACCTCCGGGTTAGACGCAGGCTTCTATAAGATAAGAAGTACGACAGAGATAACGATTGTGAATACTCTCGATCACGATACAACGAGAGACGTCATAAGGACGTCTGGATGGCTTCCACTAGACTAAAGGAGATATAACCTTGCGGATATTAATTCTCGTGGCTTGCCTTTGGGCAGCCACGGGCCCTCTTCATGGTAAGATTGTGTTCTATTCGGAGCGGGATGGGAATAACGAAATCTACAGGATGGACTCCGATGGCAGCAACGTCACACGGCTGACGCATCAGCCGGCAACTGATGCCGCCCCGGCTTGGTCTCCCAATGGGAGACAGATTGCGTTCCATAGCTATCGGGAGGGAAACGCGGAGGTGTATGTGATAGACGCCGACGGGGGCAACCCGCGGAACCTGACCCGTCATCCCGCATCTGATGCCTATCCGGACTGGACGCAGGACAGCACACAGATTGCGTTTAATAGTGGGCGGGGTGGTAAGGAACTTGATCAGGAAATTGACATTTTCGTGATGGATGCCGATGGGAGCAACGTCAGGCAGGTCACGCACATGGGCTTTGCATCAAGACCCAAGTGGTCGCCGGATGGCAAACGGATTGCCTTCGAGGCAGTAACTGACGCGGGGCGGGTAATCTACGTGGTTGATGCCGATGGTAGAAACCTCTGGCAAGTCTCATTTCCGAACGTTGAAGCGGGGATGTTTGCCCGCGGGTGGTCGCCGGATGGAAAACAGATTTTATATACAGAGGCAATCGGTCATTCCGTCAATGATGCGACACTCATCATCGCCACACTTCACCCCACTAGACGAGAGATAATAAATTGGGACCGGGTGCCTCTGCCAAAGATGCCTATCTCCGGTGGGGCATGGGGGGCGGATGGGAAATCTGTCCTTTTTTCAGGCAGACCGGCAGATGGGCCACTGAATCTTGACTGGAACATCTATCGTTTCCGTCTCACCGATAGGGAACTGATACAGTTGACCCATCACGTTTGGAGAGATAAGAGTCCACATGAGTGGAATCCGCGTCTATCTGTCCAGCCACAGCGGTTACTCCCCCTGTTCTGGGGGGAGATTAAATCTAACCGATTACGGCACTGAGGATTGGCTTCACCATAATGTGCCAACGTCCCGCGTATTTGCAAGATGTACTCGGCGGTATCACACCCCTCTTTTCACGGGTATGATACCGCTTTTTTCGCGCTGTTAATCGGCCGGGGCTTTTTTCTTAGATGTGCGTATCTTACCTTCCAAACCGCCGTTCCCGATGGCTGTAGTCACGGATTGCGCGGAGGAAGTCGATCTTTCTGAAGCTGGGCCAATAGGTATCGCAGAAGTAGTACTCCGAATAGGCACTTTGCCAAAGCATGAATCCGCTGAGCCGAATCTCGCCGCTGGTCCGGATAATAAGATCTGGATCCGGCAGATTGGAGGTGTAGAGATGCGCGGTAATTTTATCCGCACTCAGTTCTGTCGCTATTTCGTCCGGCACTTTACCTTCTGCCAACTCCGATTTTAGGTGACGCCGGAACGCCTCGACGATTTCCTCACGTCCACCGTAAGCCACAGCAACGTTGAGGATAAATTTATCGTAGTTCTTTGTCGCCTCCTCCACATCGCGAATGGCTTCTTGGAGGCTCAGCGGCAGTAACTCAAGGTTCCCCATAGGACGCACCTTAATCTGATTGGTGTGGAGCCCTTCGATGGTGAGGAGTGATCGCATCTTTGTCTCAATGACATTGAAGATTTCCGCCACTTCATCCTCTTCGCGATTGGTGAAGTTATCAAGAGAACAGATCCAGATTGAGACAATTTTGACGCCCAATTCGTCGCACCAATGGAGCACCTCCTCTAGCTTATCCCCGCCTTCGGAGTGGCCGTACTGTCGTCTAGCGGCATCAAAAAAGCCTTCCGTTTTCGCGTACCGACGGTTACCATCCAAGATAATTCCGATATGATAAGGAATCTGCCATTGGCTCGCCTCCCGCTCAAGGCGTTTCTGATAAAGGACGTAGAATAATTGCTTAATTTTCTTTTTTATGAATTGTAATGGCAACATAATGGATAAATGTAAACTAACGTGAGTTGTCGTCGGGGAGTTCAAACTGACCCAACTCAAAATCCCCAGAAACAATTATATTGACGACTGCTCCATTCGCTAACTCCGTTTCGGTCAATATATAAGGATATTGATATTTAACAACGCCGACATCCGGAACCACCCAATATTTCGCGGGTTCATAGTTGGCTGCCTCCAGTGTCTGAAATCGTCAGATAATTTTAACGCTGGCAGTTGCGGCAAACCGACAATTTCCTCTTCAACCAAGTAAGCATTATTGAAACTGCCGGCGGGCACTGTTACCGAGACATAGGCATCAGTAACACGGCGGACCACCCGAATCACTGGTGACGTTTTGGTCTCAAAGACAGTCCACTCTTTTCCAATCTGCAAAGGAAAATCCCAGAGAAGGCGTGGCGGGAAATGTTTCTGAGGTGGCAAAGAGTTATCATAAACATCAAACGCTGATTCGGTATAGGCTTGCGGTGTTTTTAAGAAGTAGGTTGCAGAAATTGGCAAACTAAAAGGGAAAAAATCGGAGTCAATGCGATAATAGAGCGCGTTTGCGGTAAGATGATCGACCGCTTCTTGGAAAATCCTCTCCTCCTGTCCGTGATCTGTGAGAACAATCGCTCTGATTTCGCTGACAGTCGCCTGACGGTGAGTGAACCCGCTAATATCTCGTATACCTTCAATCCTAATTGTAAACGTCTCCTCTAGCAGCTCTTGGATGATTTCGTCTTGCCCAGGATTATACAATCCAAATCCCACATTAAGATAGGTCCAGGCGGATCCGTTGTTTGTGGGGAAGTCGGAGGCTTGAAACCCCTCGCTAGAAGGAGGTGAAAATTCGACTTCGCCGTGCGGATCAATCAACCCTTCCTCACCACAACCAAAAATGGAAAGTAGTAGAAAAGAGAAAATAAATACAATAATTATATTTTTTATCACCTTAAACAAACTCCCTAGCGTGAAGGAACGTAATTACATTTTATGTCTCTATTTCAGAATTGCCATCTTCCGCACGGAGACATAACCGCCGGCTTTCAACACGTAGAAGTAGACACCGGTGGCAGCTTGCTTTCCCAATTGGGTGCGTCCGTCCCAGTGAATTGCTTTATCCTTACTGATATACTGTCCACGCTTTTTCATGCCAATATGCAATGTCCGTACCAACTGCCCTGATATATTGTAGATTTCAACTGAAACCGAAGAATCCTCCCCTAACTCGTAAGGAATCCAAACGTCTGGATTGAATGGATTCGGATAACTTTGGAGGAGTCGAGTTTGCATTGGGGCAGCAGGGATGTCCAGTGGGTTAAAGATAGGAGTAATACCGTTTGGGTCAATGCTCGGCGTGCCCATGATGCCAATTGCATCAACGGGCACAACGGCATAAAAGTAGCGGGTCTCCTGCGGATCGAAACGGGTGTTATCCACATCGATATCTTGAAATATCGTCGTGTCTTCAAAGTACGTATCGGTTGCATTGACCCGTCCAACAATGTTGATGTCATCGTTGGGAATGCCATCAACATTCCGGTCTGCGGCATTTAGCACCTCTGCGGCGGTCTGGAATGGCTGCGGGTCATCGGTTTCGACCAACGATGTATACCGCTTTCGGACGATAACTGCCTCACGAATATCCGTCAAATCTTCAAGCTGCCACTGTACACGCACGCTGGCGTCCCTCTCTTGCGAAAGAGTAGGTGTCGAAAGGGCACCGGCGGGAGGACGACCCGCCATATAGCTCACAGCACCGCCAAAATAGTCTCCGCCGGGGATAATCACCTGCTCGACATCCGGACGCAGATTAATTAGGATGAGTGTAATTTTCTTAATATCGCCCCCGAAATCGTTAAATGTGATCTGTCCTTCCTGAGAACGCTGGTAGGTGAAAGCCTCTCGGACTTCGTGGGTTCCATCCCGTTTTTCAACGATAAACTTTGCGCCCCAACCACGCAAGCCAAAGATATCAAGCCGATCCAACTCCCCCTGAATTGCATCTTGGTCCGTAAGGTTGAGGGAACTCATGTCAATTGGAGCGATGTCGGCGCCATCGACCTTAATAGCGAATTCGTTCATCACAATACCGGGCGTAGGTTCAAAAACAATATAGCGTGACGAGAAGGGTTCCGGCATCGCCTCTGAATTCCAATCAACGCGGACAGGGTAGGTGTCGTGCACATCGTGCGGGTGAATAACGACAGGTGGGAAACGATGTCCATTGAGATAGTGCTTCCCATCGTCACGATCGTGAGTAAAGTAGTTCCATTCGGTAAACGTCTTAAACGCTTCAGCCAACGTTGTGCCGTGGTTGGTAAAAACATCCAAAAAGTTACCGAATTCACGGTAAGAGCCACTTGTTGCATCACCATAAATCTGCCGGACAACATCAACATCAAATCGCTCCGCCATGTAAAACACCCAGATCACCGCTGCATATTCGTGCAAACCGACGCGGCTGTCGAGAGCGATGTCAGGTTGATCCAAAAAAATGCCAAGCTGTCTGGCATAATAGTCATAAGCATCGGTCTCACCGATTTCGTCGGGGTCGGGGATATTGTCGCGATCATCATCTCGTCCGCCATCGTATACTTTCGACTCAATCCATGTCGCTGAAGCTTCCATAAACCAGCCCGGCATACGTGCATTGTAGGCAAACTGAATCCCGTGCAGGAATTCATGTGCAGTAGTCGTTTCGACGAAGCGGATGCCCTCTAACTTGCCGAAATAATCATACAAACGAGAATTTATTGCAAAATAGGGACCGAAGGTCACGACAGTCGGTCGTACCCGCCCATTGTACCAATTGGTCGTTGTAAAACCGAGTGCAGGAAACTGAAACAGGTACACATCATACTTATGATTGCCGCCGTTTTCCGCATCCCAAAAATCATCAAAGGGCTGCTTAAAGCCCATCAGATTGACCTCGACATGGAAGGACCGTTCATGTGCTTCCGCACAAATATCAACGAAGTCCGGCACACCGTTCATTGGATTTACGTCTTCAAGCGGTGGCGCATGCGGACCGACAGTGGTGTAGTGGAATCTAAAGTGGGCGGTGTCAAACTTCTTTGGTAGATTGACGGAACTGTAGGGGCTGCCGGGCTGCCCCGGTCGAAGGAAAATCCCCTGAAACTCACGCTGATAGACGGCTGGCAGGCGATCCCAATTTTGAGCAAGGATATTGAAGGTGTCTGTAAAACACTCCTCAATTTCGCTGGGTGCATAATGCGACTTGGGATTGATATATTTTCGGGCGGTCCGAATGGCACTGTACAATCCCGGATCGGGTGGACGTGCCTCGACAGATACGGGCGTGGCAGCCAGAATTCCAAAGGTCAATAACAGGGCTAGGAAAAATTTTAGGTGGTTCACTTACATTCCTCTAAATCGCATTATTTTGGGGTGCGCCAATTGTATCAAGATAGGTCACATGTTAGCAATAATAACATCTTGTCTCTCTTTTTGTCAACAACTTTGGGGGATAGGCTAGGGCTATTTAGTTTTCGGTTTTCTCCCCGTCCGAGTAGGAAGTCGGGATCGGAAGATCCCTCTTACACCGATGTGTGTCGGGATTCGGAGATCCCTCTCCGTTCCGAGAGTTTTCAACCTACAGGAGAACTAAATGTCCCTAGAAAGGGTTAGGGGTATCGTATTAAGGTTTTCGCTTCTCCCTGTCAGCCTCCTATGCTATAATGAGAAACGCTGATTTATCATCCTCTAGGCGGAAAACATACCAAACAGGACTTGTTGATTTTTTGGAGCACGGATTGACGGAATCCATTCATAGTAAATCTGTTAAGGCAGTTAAGGGGTAAACGCCTCTAGAATGGGGAGCGGCTGGTTCTCCTGTAAAAGGGAAAGCGCAGCTGAGATAATCTTATGGTGCAGGGTGGGGTTATTCGGTTCGCCAAGCGGGTAGCCGAAACGATACGGCACAACAAGGGCACGTGGGGGCTTGACCTGCTCGGTAATATTTTGAACTAAAGTAATCGAAACGGTTGAGATGCCAACCGCCTCAATTGCACGTTGGATCAACCCAACGGATTGATTGCATAGCGGTCAGACGGGGGTAAGAAAGGCAACGTCAACTCCATCCGATTTGAGGATCTGTCCAACCCCTGGGGCAGTGCGTTTAATCAAACGTCCCGGAGCAGTCTGTGACCCCATAAAGCTGAAATGCCGGTCATTCAGCTGCCCGATTTCGCCTCCCTGTTCTAACTCTCGAAAGCGATCCAGCGGAAACACTAGATTCCGATCCGCAAAGCTGCCGGTCTGATCGTACGCCGTGCTTCTGTGCGCAATTGTCAGTGTTTGCACATCAATGGCGTTGGGGATTTCGCGATAGGAGTAATCGCCGCCTTTGAAGTGGTCATCGAATGGCTCCTGAGATGCTGTATATAAACCGGCCGGTCGTGACCAAGGCAACTCGACACTCCGCTAAGGGTTGCTGTAACGGGGTGTGCGGCGTTGTGTCGTAACGCCGATAGCGATAGAGTTTCATGAAAGTGCGAAGTTTGAAATCGAGTTCGTCAAAGGACGCCATGCGGGGTTCTCCTTTTGCATTGCCCCAGTCATACACAGGTCACATTTTCAGCCAAAGTCCTTGGTCAATTATAACATGAATTGAGTTAATAGAAAGTCAATTTCTTCATTTGAGCGTGGCATCTCCCAAGTCGAGGTATTCAAAAATGGCAGATTCAAAGCGAATCGAGCACCGTGAACTTATTCAATTTTTCAAACAGACACTGATGGCTGTTGGTACGCCATCGCATGTAGCAGAGAGTGGAAGCAGAGATTGGTGCGGAGGTCGACCTCTGCGGCGTACATTCACACGGCGTTCGTCTGTTGCCGGTGATGGTCGAGAACATCCAAGCCGGATCGACGAACCCCGATCCAGAAGTGAAGATTCTTGCAGAGTATCCGGCTTCGGTACTCGCGGAGACAGACCGGGGCATTGGGCGTTATGTCTCTGCCGTTGGGATGGATATGGCGATAGAACGTGCCGAAACCTACGGCATCGGTGCGGCTACTATCCGGGGTGTGGCACACTGGGGACGCGGCTATAGTTATGCAGCGCGGGCGGCGCGAGCCGGTATGATTGGCTTGGCGTTCACAAACGCTATTATCAACTTTCCGGCATGGGGAACTTCTGCGGCGTCTCTGGGAAACAACCCGATGGCTATCGGTGTGCCTGTAGAGGGTGATGGCGAGCCGGCCGTGTTGGACATCGCCATGACGCAGACCGCCATTGGTCGGGTCCGGGAAGCCGCCGAGGCGGGGCAGCGCTGTTCCACTCGGCTGGGGGTTGGATGCAGAAGGGAAGCCGACAACGGATCCGGAAGCAATTGTCGAGTCCCAACGCTTCTTGCCGATGGGCGAGCATAAGGGATCCGGTTTAGCGTTCATGATTGAGCTGCTGACGGCGGGGCTAGCGGGTGGCTTTCTCTGCTATGAACTGGGAACGGAAGGACGACCAACGGACACATCGGGAGGCTCCTCGAAACTTTTCATCGCTATACGGCCTCACGGGGAATTGGTTAAACGAAAGGACTGCGTCGCTCAAATCCTACTTAAACTCCGCACCGCCGGCAGAAGAACAGGGCGAGGCGCAGTGGCCCGGTGAGGGCAGTTATCGCCGCCGAACCGAGTATCTAGTGCATGGCATTCCAATTCCCACCAAGTTGGCAGCGGATCTAGAGGTACTCGCGCAAGAATTATCTGTGGCGTTAAATTGGAAGGTTTGAGGGTGATTCGGACCTGTTCTGATGTATCAGACCCAAAAACCGTAGGTTGACATCCTCGCTAGAATGCCGAAAAGCGTCCAGAGACTACCAACGGTAAATTCACCGAGAATAAGCCCCAAGAAGAAAGGGGCAACACGGCGATGCAGCCCAATTCCACCATGTCGCAACAGCAGCCACTTGATGAGCCAACTTACAAAAAGGCAACTCCATGTCACGTTCATTCCCCAACTCGTCGAGATAGCAAAGCCGGCGGGGTGGAGGGGCCACCACACAAATCGCATGCGGAAGAGCATCAGGAAACTAGCGATGATAAAACCGCAGATCATGAAGCCGCTTTCGGCGATTAATGCGTCTGTGGGTGTAGTCAGCCAGCGATCAAGCCGTCGATACGGTTCGATACCGAACGCACTCAACGAGGGCCAAAAGGCACGCGTCTCCATCCCCAGCCGATAGCCCCGATCAATCAACGCCCAAAACCCTGAGAGTGAGCCGAGCAATGCGGCGAACATCAGCGCGAACGCGAGATGTCGCAGGTTCATGCGTGTCCGCTCTGCCATCTTGAATCCCTCCAGTTGATGCGGCATCGGGTGACTGCGGTAGGCACGGTTGATGAACCAAAACATTGAAAACATCACCAGATTCCCGCGTCCCAGCTTTCGTGTACCGATTGTTCGTGTGAGGATTTCGTCGGGACCGGAATAGTGCAGGTCATGGACAGGTGTTCCCAACTCCGCTCGCATACGGGTAATGGCGATGGAGATAGCGTAATAGAGGATGAAGAAACTGACTGTGATGAGCACCGTCGCCCCACCACGATAGCAGAAACAGATAAGGAACACCATCACACCAATAAGCCCCAACACCGCTGTGCGATACCGCATTGGCTCATTCAAGTCGTCGAGATCTTCCGCTCCGCCGAACACTTTTCTGATGACCGCTATCAAGTGTCTTCGGCTCGCCCAGAGCGCAATGACAGCAAGTGCGATGTAACCTCCTGATGCCTGTTCTCTCATGTAAGGGAAGTGTGGCAGGCTTCGTAAACCCATGGCGGCACCGGCAACACGCATCAATCGCCAGAACCAGAAGAAAAACCAGCATGAAAACGATAGGTCAAGCGGAATGAAGAATCCGAGTCCGATGGCAAATGGGTAGAACGAGAGTGGAATTCGTCCCATGGCGTTCCACGGACTATCGGTAAAAAGCTGGAAACTCCGAATCGAGTCCGAAGTTCGGGGATAATAGGAAAGATGAAGTTCAGCCCATTTAGCAGTGCCAGCGTTCCTGCGACGGCGAATCCGAGCCACATTACCCGATTCCGAAAAAACGCTTGCCGTTGTGTCTCCGTCATTTGGAGTGGGAGTTGAATAATCGGGTAGCTGAGTTTCTCATGCTCAATCCACTGCTTACGAATAATGACGTTGATACAAAACATCCCAAAGACAAGCACAAAGATAAACGTCGTCCACCACAGGACAGGCGATGCCCAACCGATCAACTGTTCGAGGGTGTAGAGGTTCACCTCGCCCTCGTAGTATCCGCGGGCAACTTTGCTATCGCTGACAGTCAACCACTCAGGCAGGTAAGGGCAGAAAGAGGTCGCGCCATTCGTTCTCCGGCGTGGCAAAGCGGAAGGCGTGTCCCAGCATCGGCACAAGGATTTCGAGCATGTCGTGTCCCGTGATGCCAGACGCAATAGAGAGCATCAGGTAGATGATGATAAGTTCTCCCTGATTCAGGGCAGAACGAGGCGAAAACCACTTGAGAAACTGGTTGGCACCGATAACCACAAACAGGCTGAAAACAACGTTGAAGAAGAGAGAGATGGTGACCGGATGACCAGAGTACCGGATGATCTCCATCTCAATGACCCAGTAGCAGTTAATCGGAATGAGAAGGGAGGCGATGAGGAGGGATTTGACGGTAACACCTTCGACCAGTTGCTGCTCCGTTTTTGAGGGGGATGAATCTGTTGTTGCCATAGAGAGTATAGATTATATCATGCAGGTTCGGGAATTTATCGCGCTGTGCTCCCGAATTGACGTAAAGCTGCGATACGCTGGAGCACCGGTGGGTGACTATAGTTGAGCAAGACGGTCAAAGGATGGGGTGTCAAATTGCCAAGATTGGAAACAGATAGGGTTTTCAGACCGGAAATAAGCGGTTCCGGAGAAGCGATGGTCTCGGCGGCAAAGGCGTCGGCTTCATACTCATGCTTCCGAGACAGATAGTTCAGACCGATAGAGAGGACAAGTTCAATTGGAGCGTAGAGAATAGAGAAGAAAACAATCCCCGCATAGATCGAAATCTGCTCCACCTGAAAAGCATCGAAGAGCGCCCTGTTCTCAACAAAGCGTGAGAGCAAAAAAAGTAACAGTCCCGCATGAAGAATCGATAAAACCGTGCCCTTTAAGACATGCTTTTTCTTGTGATGTCCCACCTCATGAGCAATGACCGAGACAAGCTCTCCAACGGAATGCTTCTCGATCAATGTATCAAAAAGTGCGATCCGCTTTTTCGCCCCGAAACCGCTTAAATATGCGTTAGAGTGTGTTGAACGTTTAGAACCATCCATGACAGAAATCTCTGTGAGCGGAAACTTCACTTTTGCCGTATATCGCTGAATAGCGTCTTTAAGTTCGCCCTCCCCCAACGGCATAAATTTGTTAAACATTGGCGCGATTAATGTGGTAAAAAGCGGCGGCGCAATTATGATGAAAAAGGATATCAGTCCCCACGCATAAATCCAAGCGTGGCTCCCGGTTTTCTCGAAGAAGTACAGCACTCCGCCAAGTAGGGGGACGCCTAAAATGATTGCCAGTGCGTAAGTCTTGATATGATCCAACACAAACGTCTTGACGGTCATCTTATTGAAGCCGAATCTTTCTTCGATGACAAAATCACTGTAGAGCGAAAAAGGGATGGAAATAATATCTCTTGCAAAATAGAGGATTGCAAAGAAAATTAAGCCGGTCGGGATCGGTGACAGACCCAACCCGCGAACCAAGTCATCCACAAAGTTGAATCCACCTACCAAGATGAAAGCCAAAATTAGGCACAGATCGAATGTAGATGAAACATAGGCAAATTTTGCACCGGCTCTGGTGTATTCTTGGGATTGGCGGTATTTGTCCCTGTCGTAAAATCCCTCAAATTCATCGGGGAGTTTTGGATCGAGCGCTTTTAAGTTTAGATAACGCGCAATACTACGAAGGGCAAACTCGCCAATCAGTGCGGTTAGTATGATGACCAGATATATGTTCATAGTATCAAATAGTGTTCAGTTTGGAAATCCAACCAGTTAGGTTCAATCAACGAAGATATCCTCCAAGCTGACTTCTATTACCTGACCCACCGCCGCCAACTTTTCCATGTCCATCTTGTTCCGATCCCCAACGATGGAGATGAGTTTTGGATGTCCTTGAACGTGCGCTTTATGGAATTGAAGCATTAGGTCCATATTTGACGTCCGGATCGACTCATAGCGTGCCTTTCGCGGATCGATTGGGACTTCCAATCGTTCCCAAGAACGCACGGCACCAATAACCTCTCGGAAGCCGATCTTCGCCGTTCGATACCGATTGATTCTGGATTGACGAGCCTCATCAAATCGTTCAGGCGATTCCGGCAGGTTATCAATAAGATCGATGAGGGCTTGCACCGCCTCCGGTGTTTTGTCTGCTTGGCAGGCGATATATCCCCACATCAGATTTTGCTCATCCTTGCGACTGCCCGTCGTATATCTGGCAAATGTGGAATAGGCAAGTGCGCGGGCTTCGCGTAGTTCTTGGAAGACAATGCCTGACATTCCTCCCGCAAAGTAAGCGTTATAGAGTTGGATTGCCGGATTGTTGGTCTCGTTGTAATCATCACCACCAAACTCAATGTCCACCTGCGATTGCGCTAGTTCTTTGTGAAAGAACAGTATCTCGGTCTTTTCGGGAATCCGCGTTCTGAGGAAATGGTAAGGCGGTGGCGCAACCAAAGTTGTTAAGATAGGATGATGTGCTTTAAGGGTTGCTTGCATTTCATCAAGCAGAATTGAACCTGTATAGCTGATAGTGTGCTTGTAGTTCAAGAGCCCTTGAATCTCTGCATGGAGTTTGTCCACCGTCAACTTCTGGACTGCTTCACTGGGCAACAACCGCAGATAGCGTGAATCTTTTCCGTGACGGTTGTAATTGACCACGGCACCCCGAATACTGCGGTAATTTTTCTTGGCATCCTCTCGATTGGCAAGGAGGATTTTAATCAGTTCCTCAAGCGTTGCGGCATCGGCGGTCGGCTGCTTCAGGTAATCCATAGCCAACGCCAAAGATGTACCGAAATTTTCGTCAAGCCCCGAAATGGAAATAGTCGTTTCATTGTTTCCAACGTTGAGGCTGAAGTCGGTTCCCAGTTTATACCACTCTTTCTTCAGATCTTCGCTGCTGTATTTCGAGGTGCCAGATTTATCGAGCAGTTGCGCGGCGATAGCCAGCTTATTATTGTGGCGACTGCCGACATCAATGGAAATCGTGAAGACGAAGAGATCGTTGATTGGGTTTTGGGCGTAATAGAGCTTGACGTCTTCGTGATAGTCGGCGATCTGGTAGTCTTTCGCCGCATCGACAAAGACAGGCTCGACCTCTTCCACAGGCATTT